ACAGGGTTTGTTGTTGTTGATGTTGACATGGACTGGACTCTGGAGGTGTAAAAGAAAAGGAGACATCAAAGCATTGAAGCTCATGGAGCATCTGGTACATGACATAAAAGGGTAGAAAATTAAGGATCATAGTGAACAACAACATGAACGATAAAGCTGAATTAAGGATCTATTATGTTTTGGGTAGTTAATGCTGCATTGCATCTGAGGTATAACGAAAATAGCCTCTCTGTTTTTTTCAAATGTAAGACTACATACATCTTGACCCCCACCCCACCCCAAAAAAAGGACCACAAACAGGGTTGGGATTATAATGGGTTTATTACTTACGGAGTATATACTTTGTTTTTGTATGAAAATATGAAATAATAAATTCTTAACCATAAGTATTCTTATTATAGTGTTTTTTATCACTCCATATATATATGGACGTTAAAAGATAGGAGCAATTAACTACTAAGTACTCCGGGGTATATTTTGTGAACAGTACAAATGGTATAGCTTTGAGAGCATACATATAATATTTTATCATAAGAAAGCTAACAGAGTAAGAGTAGTTGTGTCCACAAGTGGTGCCTATATGACTTTAAAATTAGGTTTTGAATTAGAGATAAATGGTTGTTGATGCTGACTTACAAACTAGTGACAAATAGCCGTGAAGCCAAAGGAAACTAATTTGAGCTCTTGGCAGATGAGAAAAGCGAAGGCATGTGATTTCAAAGTCAAGAAAGTGAATGTTAGAGATAATTGAACCTGCCATTTTTGCTGCTCAGTGTACAATTGCACACTCCTTTGCCAAAGGATATTCTCAATGGCAGCCTTACTTTTTGGAAGTAGTTCAGGCAGCTCAAAAAGTGCTTCATCAGCAGCAAAATTACGTGTAATATTTGCTCTTGGAACTCCAGTTGTGTTAGGCTTACAAGAAAGGTATTTTTCAAGGTGAGCATCTACCCTTTTAGTTAACCCTGGTGGCAGAATAACCTGTAAATCAATAAGCAGGTATACCATGATGATAAAAATAGATGATAGATGCAGATGCAAATTGACAAGTCTCGAGATTGGCCAGGAAAATAAATGAAGGAAAGCTTTTATAAAATATGAAATCAGCATCTAATTTCATAAAAATATTAAAAGAAAAATCTTTATCAAAATATGAGAAAGAATCTTTAACTCATACAAGTAATAAAGCCAAGGAAAATCTCCAATAGTAAATACTCCCTCTGTCCCATATCTTTCTTCCTGCTTGACTTTTCACGGTCTCTAATGCAACACTTTGGCCATTAATATCTCTATTATTAAATAAATATAGAATATAAAAGTATGATATACCACAAAAGTCAAAACGGGAAGAAAGATATGTGACGGAGGGCGTATTGAATTACTTCCTAGATAACTTTTACTCATAATGAGCCTCTATATTCATAGAGGCCAAATAACTACCAATCCCTAGAAGTTAGGCTTTGAATCCTTCGATACCACATTACTTAGTAACTACTCTTCGAAGTTAGGCCCACTTACACATTATTTACTACTTAGTAACTAACATATATAAAATGGTACATTTGACCTGTTAAACAAATGACACTAACTGACTCTATTGAAACATTACTAACATAAAATAACTGCATATGTGGCACTCTATCACAAATGCAAATGACATGTAGAAGGAACTACATATCAAGATTTCAGAACAAGTTAAAGAAAAACTTGGAAAGAACTGAGTGAGGAAATTCAAACTTTGCCAGGAAAATTAGATATCAATCTGCTTCTAATTGTCAAACGAAACATTGCTAAGGTAAGAGAATGGATTAATGAGAGCCAAATGATAGTGTTTCCATGGATGAAGTATGCTAGATCAGCACTGATCAGCATAAATAACATACCTCTCTCTGAGGGCGCTTGTCATCCAAATCGAACCTGTAGTTTGGCAATGGAACCTTGCTAACAACCAACACTTTTGCATACACATGGCTGTGAAAAGGTAATTCATTTCAAAATTCAATGCTTTAAAAAAAAGTGCAGTGAATAATTACGTCAAACATACCTATACAGACCCATTCCTCTGGCAAGAGCTGAAATTTGTTCAAAATTACGCCTATCCTTTTTCTCCCTTGAGACTATCTCTAGTTTATCTTTGTCTTGTAAGAGGGTGCTCAACTTCCTTTTCCATGCATCCACTCTTTCAAAGTTGGATGAGCCCTAAATTCAGGGTACACACATTACTTGTCTCGAACATAAACGTAACACTCCAATACTATATAATTGGCTAAAAAATCAATGTTATGTTCATCAGGATTGTTATGTAAGCATGTTCCTTGAAATGAATAATATTGGGGCGGGGGCAATTACACTTCTATCATTTGGTATTTATCAGACTTAAAGACCTAAAGATGGGAAATTGTTACATTATACAAAGAAAACAAAACATGGATCCAGAACTTACATGGAAGGCAGGAATCTCTGCAGAGACGCCATTAGATTGGGAGTTCTGCTGCTGCATGTTTAGGAAATTGCTCTGCAGTTGTTGCTGTTGGAGTTGCTGGTTAGGCGGCAAGTAAGGGCGCGGGTTGATTGTATTGGGTTTAGGAACGGGAGCTTTATTGCTCAAACTATAATTGGTGATTTCGCCAGCAGGCTGGGGAGCCCCATTGGCAGACGACGAGGAAACTATGACCGAGCGCAGCCGTTGGTGAGGAGGAACGTAGGCGGCGCCGTACGGGGACGGCGTCCAGTCATTCATCCTGACAGAAGAAAAGCACGCGTCTCCCCTGGAGGGGATGCTCCGGTGGGATTTAGGGTTTTGGAACGGGATTTGTGAAGCGTGAACTGCTTGAAGAACAGGCCAGATCATGCACCGATTAGGTCCAGGGAGAAGACGAAATAGAAGCCGCGATGATGGCCGTTGTTCGGGGATCGGCTCGCGGCACTCCGGCGGTTGCGCGGTGGAGGAAGGGAGGCAACGGCGGACGACAAATACAGGTCTGCTTTGATCCGTCGTCGTTTGACAGTTGCCTGGTGGAACGGGGAATTGAAATGCCGGCGAGTGATCGGCACGTGAGTGGGTTAGTGTTCTTGGATTGACGATGTGGTTCAGCACGCGACTGACGCTAGTGGTTAAGGACTTGAGCTCGGCTTCGTTTGGTAACAGCGTTTTCGATTAGCGTTAGTATTTTGGATAAAATTTTAATGGTGTAGATTAAATCTAAAAACGCTAAAGGCTACCGTCGGATAGCTTTTTGAAAACGTTAATCTCTAACGCTGATGCTAAATGGGGCCGTGGTATATTGGGTGATCAAAAGTCAGTTCTTTAGGACTGGAATTGAAAGATATTGATAGAAATTAGAATCAACTAAAAAGAACACAAAAAATTGAAAAAAATTAGAAAAATTTTAAAAATTTGAAAAATCAAAAAAAACTTTTAAAAATATTATTTTTGTATTTTATATTATTTTCATTTTAATTCTTGTTGTTATAAACTATTATTTTATTATTATTATTATTATTATTATCATCATCATCATCATCACATTATTTTAATAAATGTGTTTAAAATTCAAAAAAAGTATAGTTATTTTTTCATACACAAAAAAATACTTTTGCAAAAAAATAATTATAATATAAAGTTAACATAAATATCAAAATGTTAAATTTCAAAAAATTATTGTGATTACGTTGCACCTCAGTATATTAATGCAATATATATGATAAAATAATTTATTTGTAATTATACTTTATATATTACGTAGAAGATTTTGTTTTAAATATTATACAAGACACATAATGTGTACAAATTTATTTCTTCTTTCATGATTGTCATTTTGTTTTAATTGTAACTTCTATTTTTAAAATGTTGATGTTTTCTTATTTTATCCATTATTATTATTATAAATATAGTTGACCGGGTCGTTGATCCCCGATTCGACCGGTTCAACCGATCAACCTTGACCCACTACCTCGTCTGGGTCAACATCTGGTCTTGTTTTCTGATGATTTTCCATAACCAAACCCTAACATCTATCTTCACCAAAAAGGCAAACACAAAAACCAACCTTAAACCCCAAAAAATCCCATTTCTGCAAAACCCCTAACCTTCAACTTCCCCCTCTCGCTCTCTACGATGCCTCTTTAACTCTTTCGGATAAAAGGATTTCTTTTTAGTTTCAAAGGAAGCAATTCCCCATAATGACTTCATATGCGATGACCATTAGTAAAAGCCGGGAACAATCTTTATCTCATGTTGGCTTACTACTTAAAAAACCAGTGTTTAGTCACGGTCAACTTTACGTCGCTGTCTCCCGTGTGACAAATCGCGAAGAGTTGAAGATTTTAAGCTAAATGAAGAAAATACTCCTGTTTTAGACTATATTTCAAATGTTGTATATAAAAAAGTTTTCTACAATTTATAATTAGTATTAGTATATGATGACTTTAAATGCCAGACATTGTATTTAAGTGAGACATATATTGAAGTTGGGCAATGCTACGTTCACAAACAGAATGATCACAAACTTCACAAACTTACTATTTATGGTTTAAATTCTCATTTTAAAACTATTTTAGACTATTTAATTTTCTTTATTAAACTTCACAAATGGTAAGTTTGTGAAGTTTGAGTTTGTGAACCAAGCATTTCCGATTGAAGTTAGATGCTCCCTCCGTCCAACAATAAAGTTCTTGTTCACTATTCATAAGGTCAAACTTTATTCACTTTGTTGGCCTATTTTTGTGTATTGTTTGATAAAATAATATAGTCATGTCACCACTAGTTTTGTAGATCTTTTCCTGTAGTTTTTAAATATGTAATTTTAATTTTTTAATTCCATACCATTTTTCATATAAAATAATCTGAAAATAATTTCAGTTAAATATCGTAATGCGCAATGAGAACTTTATTTGTGGACGGAGGGAATATTTTATTTATTCATTTTTATTACTTATTGTTGTTACATAAATATATAATTTATTTATAAAAATATTATTCTGGGTAAAATCTATCTTCACCAAAAAGGCAAACACAACAACCAACCTGAAACCCCAAAAAATCCCATTTCTGCAAAAACCCTAACCTTCAACTTCCCCCCTCTCGCTCTCTACGATGCCTCTCGACGGGGCAGCGGTGGATCGGGAGAAGGAGCGCCAGGCGGCGACGGGAGCCGGAAACGGCGCCGCCATCAACGGCAACGGCGTCGTCGTCGTCCAGGCGCACACCGCCAACAGGCTGCGGCTGAACCCTAGCTTGGACCACAAGCCCGACCGCTACGACGACCTGCAATTGGACTTCAGCCCGCTTCTGTTCAGCTCTCTGGAGCGCTATCTCCCGCCGGCCATTCTCATCTCTAGCCGCGATTCCAAGGTTCAGTACATGCGGGAAATTCTCCTCAGGTATTCGCCCGAGGGAGAACGAACCCGGGTGAGTTATGGAAATTATTATTATTATTATTATTATTATTATTATTATTATTATTATTATTATTATTATTATTATTATTATTATTATTATTTTGCATCTTCATAGTTCATACGTAGTACTATATTGCTCTGTTTTGTTTAAGGTTCAAGTAAAAAAAATCGCAGGTAATTTTTTAAGGGGCGAGGCTAAAACCACCTCATTTAATAATAAATGGACAATTTTGCCCTTCACCTCTTTGCTTTCTTGTTTTAAAACAGTTAAGGGCAAACCATGTCTTTTTAATATCAATAAATTGGATTTAGCCAAATGAAGGGTGAATTTAGCAATAACCATTTTTTTAATACTTTTAAATGATATTTTGCAGGTCCAGAAGCACAGAGAATACAGGCAGAAGATTATATCAAACTACCAGGTATAAATTATGATATGCTCTTTTCATATGTTTACCACAAACAATGTAAATGACAAGAATGTGCACTGTTATTGTTCATGGTAAATATTGATGCTATAATAGTACCTTCACTGAGTGTATTCCACTGATTTTTTAAAATATATTTCTACACATTTATAACATACTGTATTACGTATTTTTACAAGGGTAAAACTGGAAACATTATTGATCCATAGACCCCAAAGGAGTTGGGATTGTACATGGTTATTGTTTGGTTTTGGCTTGGTTTCCTATCACATTTATGGGATATTGTTATTGTAAACAAAACTGTTGTATGTTTTCCTGGTGGGCATTGGAGATGACAATATATTTGCCAACATAGTCATAAAATTGTATTTCTTTGTGCTTTTATAATTTATCCACACATTTCTTGGTTTAGTGTAGACTGTATAGTGCCCAGTATAAACTTTGTATAGACTTTATCTGACTAAATCACTCTTCCAGCCACTACACATTGAGTTGTACACGATGCATGCTACGAGTTTCTTTGTGCCCTCGTTTTTGAAGGCAATCAATGAAAGTTCTATAGAAAGTTTCAAAAGTATAATGTCGGAAGTTTCTGGTGTTTTTACCTTTGAGATGCTGCAGTCTCGCTTCTGTGAAATGCTTCTGGAAGAGGTATTATTTTTCTGCTTCTGGTGAAGTCAATATTTGAGAAATGCTCCTTAAGCTGGTTATTCGTAGTTTAGCTTTTCTATTTCTTATCAGGTTCTGATTGGTTAGGTAGAAAATTTTGAGAAGTGGGTCCATGAAACAAAGTTCATAATCATGAGGCCGAATACGATGAACAAGTTTGGTGCCGTCCTTGATGACTTTGGCATGGAAAACGTGCTTGACAAGCTGATGGAAGATTTCATTCGTCCTATTTCCACAGGCAATAATTTTAACCGTTCTACAAAGGGGAGTAAAAGAAAGGAGGGGATGGGGTTTAGTTGGATTTCACGTACCTTTTGGATTAACCGAGTTTTAAAAATTATTGTGCAGTTTTCTTTCCAGAGGTTGGTGGGTCGACACTCGACACCCATCATGGCTTTGTGGTCGAGTATGGAATGGATCGAGATGTTGACTTGGGTAAGGGGCTGATATTCTTATGATTTGGTGTGGGTTATATACTCCCTCCATTCTTCTGTGTTTCAATGTTTGTCCCTTTTTTGGGTCCTCCCAAAGTATTTGTCCACTTCTCCTTTGTGCCAAAATAATACTCTCTCCGTCTTAAAAAACTTTTCTTTCTTTTTTGGTTGTCCCAAAATAATCTTCACATTTCTCCTTTTCCTAATTAGGAATGAAATATGTGGCTCACAATCTTTCTTTCTTCTCTAATTAAATTGCAACCATCCACTTTTTAATTTTCGATACTTTTCTTTCTAGTGGAAGGGAGTAAATGTCACAATGAATCATTTTCCATCAACCCAACAATCAACTCTCAATACGACATATTTAATTGAGATTACCCACTACCCATATAGTAAGGGCACTTTAGTCACCTTTCCTTTTTATTCTCATTTCATTGGTCAATGTGCCAAAATGCAAGTGCACAAACACATTGGCACGGAGGGTGTAGTTCTTTTGGGGTTCTTTTTGTCACATTGGCCAAACGAACTTGAAAGAATGTTCTTTCTTGTTTTCATGTTAATCGTTAAAGTTTCTCCTTGCAAGAGTACAAGATACCTTCTCTTCAAGAGGTCAAGTTTTTGTGTACTTTTTTTTTGAGAGAGTAGGATCTCAACTGTTTTTACCTTTTAGGTTTCCATGTGGATGATTCAGAAGTCACGTTGAATGTGTGTTTGGGTAAGCAGTTCTCGGGCGGAGAACTGTTTTTTCGAGGCGTGCGTTGTGAGAAACATGTAAATACAGAATCACGACCTGAGGTATGCAATTTTCAATGTTTTGCCTGCAGCTGATCTACCGTTTATCTGTATTATCTATTAGTTTCCAATGCATTTCCATTTTCAAAAGAGTTCCTTTTATGAAGTATGTAGCTTGAATTCCTGAGCTTGCCGTGTCTAGTATATGACTTTTGGTGAGATAGATGATCATGATGCCTTTTTATCCCAAGTATGTTGGGGTTGGTGGCATGAAGTTTTTACTTTTTATTGCTTGTTTGTCAAGTGCTTCGGCATTTAGCTTTACCTCTTTGAAAGACTATGTAACATCATTGTTTGACTTTAGCATTCTCAAAGTTAATTTGCACCATTAAAAAATAATCCAAAATGCTAACGATAATTGAAAACTTCTTCATGCAAAAAGCAATGTCGATGGTGATGAGTTTAAGTAGTTGTTATAGTCATATGCCTCTTAACAAGATTGATATAAAAAAACATGAATGCCATTGGAATGTGTCCAAGTTGGTGAGAGATGTATACTTTTGAGATATTCTCAACTCATCCGGAGATTGTAATTATTTATGTATCACAGGAGAGCTTAGAGCTAAAACATCATCCTGGACGGGCAATTCTTCACCGTGGTCGGCATAGGCATGGAGCTAGAGCCACAACATCTGGCCAGAGGACCAACTTATTGCTCTGGTGTAGAAGGTACCAAGTGACATGACTTTTTCTTTTAGTACTTTGTATTTTTTTATTATTAATATTATTATTATTATGCTTGAATTGGGTATGAGACAATTTGGTAAAGCCAAAAACAGATGAAGTGTTCATTCATTGACTGTCTAAAATGTTTCCTTACTTTTTTTAGGGCGTTTCCTTACTTTATAATGAAGAGATTAAAGAAAATAAGATTCAAAAGTAGAAGTGGCATTTTAAAAAGTTTAATTCGTTTCATTTAAAAAGTAACTGGTGCGCTATTTTATTCGTATCGTACTTGAAAGGCTGAGACACTTTCTTTTTTCAGAAGTTTCAAAAATTTGCAACATTTTTATTTTGGCACTAAAGATTCCTAAATGATCACAATGCTACTTACTCATCACATGTCCTTTTCTTTTTCCTCTCCTTACCACTAAAGGGAAAAATTGTCAAACAATTTATTCCCTTATTTTTTTGTTCTGAAGTCTATGTTTCAACCTTCCAAGAACAGAGGCCGTACTATTCAAGCCAGCTCAATAGAACTTTTGCCGCTTGCTAATAACACCAATAAGTCTAGAAAAAATTACCCGCCCAACAAGCAAAATGCCCTTTAAAGCAGACTATATACTCCCTATCTCCCCCCAAAAAGGCTTGCCGTTTCTTTTTTAGCCTGTCCTAAAAACGTTTCTGTTTCTATTGAAGGAAATGTGTTGTGTTGCTTGTTCTTTTTTGTCCTTCATTTATTTTACTATCCACCATATACCCACTACTCATATACCCTGCCCAGTGCCCACTTATTACCCAAGGGTACCATTGGAAAGTCAATGATTTTTTTTATTTTTCTACATCTTTGCGCCATGTTAAACGAAGATCTTTTTTTTTGGACGGAGGGAGTACCAATGATCATTAATATATTTCATTTTTAATGTTTTGTCCTTGCAGTTCTGTGTTTAGAGAGTTGAGGAAGTATCAGAAAGACAATTCCAGCTGGTGTACAGAGTGCCAACGCGAGAAGAAAGAAAGACAACGCCAGTCCATAGCCGCCACAAAATTGGTAATGCTTAGGGACTTCCTATGTTGCACCGTAAACACTAAACGCGTAAAACCCTAATTGCTGTGTTAAAATATACCTGTGCATGCTTTTGTTTTGTTTTGCCAGGAACTACTGAGAAGAGAAGGGGAGGCTGCTCTATAGTTGACTTATGGGTCTGTTTCACTTTATTATATAATGTGTATTTATTTTGTTGTTTAAAGCCCCCTCTGTAAGATAGGGCAGTTATCTCGGCGTTGATATTGGGGTTGTGGGGATTGTATACTCTTCAGCTGTACATTGAAGTAATGTAGTGGTTATGTCCAGTTTGCCAACACATGAAAGCGAATAACTTGTCTTTTAAAAAAAAGTGTCATCCAATTTTTGTGTTGTTAATTGTTATAGCATAATTTTGATAGCTGGATTTCATTTTTGTGATGTGAAGACATATTTTGTGAATATAAATGTTTTTGAACCAATTTCAATTGTTAGGCTAGGCCAAAATGGTGTGTGTTCTTCGAACACTTTCTGTCCTTGAAAAAATATAATAGGAGCAGGCAAGTTTGTAACAATGCAAGGAGTATAGTAAGTAATTAGCAGTTCACAAGTACATAATCCAACAAACACAGTAACAAAACACACCTTTAGGCTTTCTCATAATGTCTTTCAAGCAAAACACACAAACACCTTTATTCTTCAAGCTGAACACCATCATATATCTCTACCCATAGTTCTATATGTATACATAACTATTATAAGGAGCTTGCACTCCTAGCAGTGTTCTTATTAGTGTATACATGCAAATTCAAACACCAAAATTAATACCTAAAATGGATTATTATTATTATTATTATTATTATTACTATTGTTATTTGTTATTATGGTTTTATTCCTGGCCCGGGTGTAAAATTATGATCAAGTTTTCAATAATGATGAGTGAAGTGAAGAATATATGCTAGGAGGGATTGAGGAGTGACCTGAAGTGTTTCTCGTGGCGGGAGAGGGAGTGGCGGAAGTGGCAGCGGTGGCCGTAAGGGCAAGGGCCGCCGTTGAGGACCATGCGGCAAACCTCTGTCTTGTAGCGGGGGTGGCGGAGGACGGGGCGGAGCTCATCCAGGCCGTGGGCGTACTGGCAGCGGCCTCCGTAGGGGCACCCACCGGTTTCTTGCCATTTGTTGCATAGCTCAGTCTTGAACATTCCCTGGTTGTACACTTCCAATTCCAGTGGCGGCCCCTCTTCCTTCTTTCCACCCTTCACGTGCACCTTTTGCTGCATTCATTAACAACGTACTACTCCATATAAGCTTATATCCATCTTTGACTTTTAAAGTAATTTTTTTATAAACAAATTGATTACAAATTTTAAAAATATGTATTGTATATAAATAAGTTTACTTTGAAATATAATTTTAAAATATTATACTTTCATAATATATCCTTCTATAAATAAAAATATTAACCATTAAAGTATTTTTTCTGTCCTTGAATATTTGTCTACTTTTAACTTTTTTTTGGTTAAAATTCGTAAACTTTGACCACAAATTAAACAAAAATGATATTGGATATTGATACAAAAAATAGTTTTATTAGATTATTATATGAAATATTTTCAAAATATTATTTTATCTTATTAATATACAATATATATTTTATTTAATTATAAACCAAAGATTGAAAATGATTAATTGGAAAAAGTTGAATCTGAATAAATACTTAGTGAGAGAGTAATATTAACTCAAACAATGTAGAAAAAACAAATAAAAAATTAAAAAAGACCGATGCAATAATTTGAAAGTAAAAATTACTCCTAACTAAGAAAATGAGGAAAATTTTCAAACAATTACTCATTCATAAAATTCCTAGAAATCCATGAGAAATAAAATGTAAAGAAAAAAAATGACAAGAAAAAGATTGAGAAATTAATTACCGCAGCTTGAGCCGATTTCACGTAGCCACGAGATCGAACAGATATACTCTTAGGAAGCGTGATACCAATTGGGCTCTCGCGAGTGCGACGGTCGCAAGAGGACGACAACGCCGCCGCCGCCGCGGTCAAATCCTCCCACGGTTGTCCCTCGCCTGCAGAATCCTGGTCTCCAACAGGGCCGCTCTTCCTCCTTACTCCGAATTCCGGCGGCCCTCCGTGCACAGAAGCGTAATCGGGCGACGCCTTGAGCAGCAGAGCAAGGCGTCTGTTCAAATCGAGGTTCGCCATCTTGAGATTGACGTTCTCCTGCCGGAGCGCTTGGGCTTGTTTCGCCATCTCTCGGAGGTTACCGAGCACCGCACTCTGGCGAGCGACCAGGTCCTGGTGGTGGCGCCGATCGAGCAGGATCTGAGGTTGAGGAAACGCCGCCGCCTCGAACGGCGGCAGATTTTCTCCTCCGCCGCCGGACGATTCACCGAAGAAAGGCGAGTCCGGAGGAATCATTATAGCATCATAGAGAGAACTCAAATCGAATGCGCTGCTCGAAGCTTGGCTGAGAAACGGCGACGGAAACACATAATCGTACTCCATTAATTGCTGCTCCGAAACCGGCCGAAGGCGGATAAATCTCTCTGCACTCGCGTCTCAAACACGCGCCGATCCTTCTCTATCCGTAACTAACTAACGATCTTCTGCCATTGCTGCAAACAGATCAATATAGAATCAATCCAAGCGAGCGAAGATTAATTACAGATCATCAACACGAATTTATAACTAAAAAACTCCAAAACCGATGACAAAAATGATGAATTAACACTGCAAAAAAGAGAAATCCATCGCACCTGATTGAATAACAAGATCGAGTTCGAGCAGATTCGATTGATTCATCCGAAGTTCTTCAATTAAAATACAGGAATTGCGAGTTTGAGGTCTAGAGAGCGTGAGAGAGAAATGTAGAGAGAGATAGAGAGAGAATGGAAGGGATGAAATGGGGAAGAGAGGTTTATGGACTGTGTATATACTTGGGGGGAGAGAAGGAATCAACGGAGAAGACAATGAGAGAGGGGTAATTTCGGAATTTAGGTGAGCCCGGGAAAACTGTTAACAGAATCCGTTTGGACATTCATAATTTAGAGCGGGAGAGCTCGTCAAATAAATACCATGTCCGTGCACATTAATTAAGTACACACTAATTTCAATTTGCAACTACAAGAAGTCTATGGTTGCTTATAGATAGTTTCTGTCTCCTAATTTAAGTGACATGTTTATTATTTATCAGATTAAACTTTAATTATATTTTTGACTTATTTTCGTGATCCATTTGAAAAATTGATACTCCCTCCGTCCCAAATTAATACTCCTAATGTCACTTAATACAAAATTTAAAAAAGTGAAATTGTATGGTTGAAAGTGATACCGAGAAAAGTGAAAAAATGTGAGTCACGAAAAGCTTTTCAAAAAAAGAAAAGAGGAATAACCTAAAAAGGAAATAAGGATTAATTTGGGACAGATAAGATAGTGAAATTGTATGGTTGAAAGTGATACCGAGAAAAGTGAAAAAATGTGAGTCACGAAAAGCTTTTCAAAAAAAGAAAAGAGGAATAACCTAAAAAGGAAATAAGGATTAATTTGGGACAGATAAGATATCATATTATAACCTCTTGCTCTGGAGGACTTTTGATGTACTGTGTATTTTTTTAAATATATAAATTGTATTTTTAAATTTTTTACCAATTTTTAAATAAATTGAATTAAAAATAACTTATGCAAACTTCGCAAACAATAACAGACGCATCTTTTTTTTGGATAGAGAGAGTATGTTATATTTACTACTCCTTTCATTCTATATATTACTACCTTTGTCCCATTTTATAACGCCTGTTTCGGTTTACGATGTTTGACTGAAATTATTTTCAAATCATTTTATATGACAAATGGTATAGAATTAAAAAATAAAAATTACATTTTAAAAAACTACATCAAAAGATCTACAAAACTAGTAGTGACAATAATATTTTATTTTATCAAATTGCTAACGAAAATAGAGAAAGAAAGTGAATGAAGTTTGACCTTGTGAATAGTAAACAAGCATTATAATTTGGGACGGAGGGAGTATAATTCTATTCCCTCCGCCCCACAAAAATTTACATTCTTCATTATTCAAAAATCATGGAAACTTTTATTTATTTAAATAGTTTCATTAATTATTCAATTAAATAAAATATTTTTGTCACCTTTTATTTTGTAGAACTTTTAATGTACTTTTTGAATATACAACTTTTTTTTATTTCTACACCAATTTTAACTAAATAAATTTAAAAAAACTAAAATTTTACTTCATTTTGCATAAAGTGTAATTCATTTAGGAACAGAGGGAGTACGAGTTATTAACAAGTTATTATTAATTCCATCTACACGTATGACAAATGAATCGAATGACGGATTATATATGTAACAGATGATAGATAAGTCGTGAATAGATAACAGATAAGAAATTAATAGCTGGATGAACTAACAAGCTTTTTTTTCATTAGATATCTGCCACTTAGGTAGGAAACAATGATTTTAAAATGGTTGGAGAAGGGGTTTGCTTCTTTATTAATAATGTGAACTAACAATCATCATGCCAATACTTGATTGTGCTTGTTAATGGTTGTTAAGACGGCCATGCTAATTAACAAACACTTAAACACATACTTACATTTACATCAAAGTATCAATCTCTCCACCTTTTTGACAATATGTAGTAAATTGGTCATTAAGTTATGGTCATTTTCTTCGAAAGAATAAATATATCCCGCATAATATTTCTCTTTCTTCAAAATTTACATTATACCGATCAAACTAGGCACTAAAATGAAGATCGAGGGAGTACTATTTTTTATTATGTTCAAATACATTGCTTTTGAATACAAATAAAAAAATGAAAATGAAAAATTTGTCAAAACATTATTTTACGAGAGGCAATTTCATAAGAGTCTTATTCTCGCAACGAGATGCATGCGAGCAAAGCTAAGCTCAAAACCATAATTCTCTGCGACAGCAAACTTATCGTGTGAATTAATCTATCATACCCTTGTGGCAAAGATCAACAAAAAAAACTTAAGAACTCGTTTTTTCGAAACAATGTCAGACTTACCCCACGGTCGATCTGATCATGGGTTGAGGATTATATAAGACCTCGTTTGATAATATTCCATACTTTTTTCTATTGATTCTGCCATTGTGATTCTCAAAATCAGCTAGAATCAATCGACATTGTAATTGTCTCTTATTTGGAATAGAGTCAATTATTGCTTCTACTCACAAAAACCTGACTCTTCACAATCAACAAATTGACTAATTCTCAAATAGTTGACTATAAGAATGAGAATAGCCAAAACAAAGAAATAGAATCAAATGATCCCTAAAGAACTATTTAGATTACAAAAATTGCAAAATTGCCACTATAGTTCAACAATCGGAGCTTAAAAATCCACACAAAAAAATTACCTCGAATCACAAGGCTCTCTACCGTGATTGCACAACTTTTTCGTGCAGCACGAATACGACCATGACGGAAAAAAAATCTTCATGTTGGTGCGAACTCGGTGCAAAAGAAAGTGTAAGAAAATGATGCACGAATGGCATAACCCGTTTTAAATTGTCAAAAAATTGGTTGAACTCCTTTAGGGATCAAACCCTATGGGGAAAGTAGCACATCTGTAAGAGACACATTGGGAGCATAAAGGAAGCATTCATATCTCACAAAAAAAGGGGAGGGGGACAAAACGTGAAGGACATTATAAGCAATCTCAGCAAGCCAAGTGACCTTAGTTCCCACAATGAAGGTTTCTCCAAGAATTGTGTCATATAAATTCCAAAAGTAGCACTCACTATACAAATTGTGAAAATCTTTAATGTGTGCGGCACGTCTCATTTAATCACTTTTAGCACCCAAGGGGAACTGCTACCTGCAATGTGTATTAACAGAACTCAGGGCATCCGAAAGAAATGTGTCTCCGTGAAAACAAAAGCTGCGAGGAACAAAGAGAAATGCTATAGAAAGAAAAAAGAGGGCGGAAGAGAAGCTAAGGCACATAACTTTTTCATGTTTGATTTTTAAATTAATTTTGCACGCATTTTAGGAATAAACCCTTTGGGGGGCAAATTATGTGAATGCGCATTTCAATAAGATCAAAATCACTTAAAACTTTATGTATATAGCAATATCTTGTTCTTATAGTTCATACAAAGTATATAGTCTATAGTTTGTATAGAAATTGAATTAGTGAATTTTAAGCAATTATTTATTTCTTTTCTAATTTTCCTTAGTTATTCCCTAGCATATTACAGGTTACAAACAGCTCTTACAGGCTGCCAGGCATGCATTTTAGGAGGTGATGCTGAAGGGGAAGGGGTGTTTTTTTATATAGAAAATAATGCTTGAAATTGATTTTTTAGATCCTACTCTTGTGTGATCCAGCTGGGTTTTGGTTGAACTGTAGTCTGTATCATACTCCATATATAATAATCTTATTTTAAATAAACAAAACTGTATTTAGCCCACTTGTTTAGTTCATAAAAGTGCAGGTAAAGGGATGAGAAATGGAGAGATGGGAGAGAAGGATAAGGGAAGAGTTAAGTGGAGTTTGGAGGAGCCTAAGATCTTCCACTTTCCTCCCATCACCCCTAATGAAAGACAACCCTCAAACTCCACCAGCCAAACAAGGCCTAAATGAAATGAAGTGCATGCACTAAATAGCATTATATATCTTATGGTGCTTTCTGATAAGCTTTCTTGCCACAAATCCAAATTATTCACTGCCTACATCCTTTCTCTAATTGTGTTTCCCCAGTCACCATAAATCCATAATGATCTCTAAGAAGACGAACATACAGAGCTTACTCAAATGAGAAGATGCTATATACTCCCTCCATCTAACAATTATCTTCGCGTTCACTATTCACAAGGTCATACTTTATACACTTTTTGGCCTATTTTCGTTGTCTATTTGATAAAATAATATAGGCATGTCGCCTCTAGTTTTGTAGAACTTTTAATGCAGTGTTTAAATATGTGACTTTTATTTTTTAATTCGTCACCATTTTTCATATAAAATGATTTGAAAATAATTTCAATCAAACATCGTAACGCGCAATGGGAATATAATTGTTGGACAGGTGTGTGTGTGTGTGTGTAACTCGCTAAAGATCATGCAACTTGGTCTTAATCAATGATTACAAAAGACACAACAGTCATTTACCTGAATCAGTTGGGTTTTACATACACTTCAACAATGTCATTGTCTTCCATCCCGAGGCTATTAGGAGTCACTGTATGACTAATTTTGTCCCCATCAAAACTGAAGATTAAGTTTTGCAAACTAATCTTTGCTTTCTCAGCATATATTTGGAAAAGTCTCTCAAACGGATCATCCTACATTGACAAAAGAGAAATATTTTAATTTAAAAATACATTTTACACATTATATTTGAATGTATAAAGTTCAAGAACTAGTACATACCATAGGGCAGTAAAAAATGAACCAAAGCTTAAACAGGAAGTATATCAGTCCTTTTAAAACCAGAAACCAGAAACAAGATAAAGTGTCTTTTAAGTTGTTTGTCGTGGGCTTTCTGACTGAACATGATTACAATAACTATGATTGCTTTTGGATTCTTATACAACATACTCCCTCCATCATTAAATTAACTTCTCATGTTGAGTTGTTGACTTGACACGTTTTCTTTTAAAGTGAAGTTGTGTGATTGTTGTTGATTTGAAAGTGAGAGAAACAAAGTGGACCATATAAATCCTTCCTAAGAGGAAACGGGAAGTAAATTTTAAGACAGCCCAAAAAGGAAGTGGAGAGAAATTTTTAGGATAGATGAAGTATATTGTAAAAACAAAACACTGAAAACTGTCAACTAGCCCATACTGGGCTTAGCGATGACCATTTAGTAAATTTCAAGAAACAAACCATTCAGAAACATTTACTTTGGGAGAATAAACATAATTTAAAAGCATTTGCACAAGGGCATAACTTTTGAGCACTTCATAGAATCAACAGCAAATACACATAATTCCAGATACTAAGTACAACATTAAAACAAAAGAGATACGCAAGTCAGTCCCAAAGCAAAACAAACTTCCGCAGTCTAGAGTAAGAGTATATGACATTGTCATAATCTTAGGATTCTTAGCAACACCAAGAAAACCAAACCACAAATTAATTCCACTGGCACTTATATTAGAAGCATTGACATCTCTATGAATACCATCATCACCGGTTTAGTCTAAACTACTTGGGGTTTGTGATGTGAAAACAGGACAGCGACAAATAAAAATGTTCTACGCCGGATGCCTTCTTGTCACAACACGCTTACAAAGGAATAATGTGGTTATATTTGAAATTGTCATCATTATAGGTTACTACTACCATAACTGACATGCAAACTCTATGTTCACACTCTAATTAGCTAGGAATTGGCAAGATGATACCTTGAAAACACGATATGGTTTGGATCCATCCTTATCTTGAATACAAATAACTATTTTAGCTCTTTCACTGGATGGTTTTTTCTTCTGGTCTGCTACAGTCTCTTCAGTTGAATGCAATGAAGTGCTATTGCTAAGATCTTTTTTTACAGATTCCTCAACATCTCGTATCACTTCCTTTGCAGATTCAGCTATGGATGCCAGCTCCTTCTTTTTCAACCTATGAACAGCCATGTATATTATTATAAGAAGGTGAAAAGTAGAAGTTAAAAATAGAGCTGAAAACAAGTGTTAAAGCAAATAATACGAATTGACTTAACAGTTCAGAAGATAATACTGAAACAAGCAGACTGAAAACAATTAGACCCTGACATTTCATTCTTCAAAAATGCTTGGTTCAACAAAATGAATGAGATATTTCATCATCCAAATTTTATTTCGAAGTTCTGTAGTTTCCCAAGTATACTATCAAGAAGGGCAGAATGCCTGATAGTATTTCATGATGTGTCATATTTCTTCATACGAAAGAGTTAGAGAAGTTAAAAACACACAAGGGAGCACCCAAAGAAATATCAGAGAGAAATAGTTCATCAATTGTGAACCAATGTGAAACTCACATCATGCCCTTACATTTTACATTATTGACACTACTTCATAGATATCAAATCACCAAGCTAAGCCTTTTAAATTTTGGCTGGTTATAAATCATATATGCTATTGTTAAGATCCCATGTAGCATATTAAAGAAAGAGAAGAGTTTACAAGACCCAGGTTAAACTAGCTAAATGATTAGATTGAAAGTTTGAAACTTATATTGTGGTCTCAGTCTCACTTATCTCATCGAAGTGATTTATGGTTTAGTTACATGACACCAGTCCATTCATGAACTTTATCACGGTGTTATAGCATAATTTAGTCCACTTTAGTTTCAGGGATAGTCGATGGCAAGTGACCAACCAGTTAATTTTGGTCATTTGAGTGAGCATAAAAAATCTGGAAAGAGATCACCATTATGTTTTTCAACTTTTGAAGTATGACACTCATTAGCATGATAAGTAGTACCATAAACTAGACTTGGAAGTCGGAGCACACAAATTACCGATCCCAAGTCAAGTTCGTTTTTCATGAGCACATTTCATCAAACATTAGAGTCTTCATTTTGAAATCACCTTATTTCCTTTATGGTCGAATTCTCACACGGTGCTTTGGCATTAGATGAAGTCATTGGCGGTGGCCGCAGCCATTCTTCATCCTCTTTATCCTCACAGTCTACTAATTGAATTACATCTTTATCTTCAGGCTTCTTTTCATTCTAATATCAAATCAATTACAATAAATACACTAGACGGTATAAGAAGAGCTCAATTTCATAAATAACTCAAAATTCTTACAGCGGAACTGCCGACTTTCGGCCTCTTCTTACCAGCTACTGGCGATGAATGGGGGCTATCATCTTCCAAATTTAGGGAGAATTACAAAAACAGTCAAATAAATTAATTTAAAGAAGAAAAGGTTAAGCGATAAACACAAATCCAGGCGGAGAGAGCGCGCTCATACCGTCAAGGCAGACGACATTGAAAGGCTGGACGCGACGATAATCGAAGAGCGGATCGAGTTCATCGGTGGAATCGTCCTGCGGAGGAATTCGAATTCAAAACGAAAACGAAAGGTCATTTTAGAAAAAAGCAATAATGGCATCAATGGAAGCGCGAGTGAATATGCAGAGTCGCGCACCATTGTTGAACTTCAATGTTCTCTCTCTCTCTCTCGGCTTAGCCAGGCTCTGTGCGGGAGAAGGAATCTGGTGTGAGAAGGGGTTTACGAAGGGGTTAGGGACTTGGGGGTTGAACGGGGGCTGAGGGGCGGGGAGGTTCAAGGCAATGTGGGACGAGAGGGGAAGGGGTTAGGGTGGGGTGAGAGTAGGGGTGGACGCGGTACCGGTACGATACCGTGACCGGCAACGGTATCGTCGGTACCTGTCACCGTCATCGCCGGCCAGGACGTTCCACCGGTTCCGGAAACCGATACCGGAACCGTCTCTCGGTACCGATTCCGGTACCTATTTTTCGGTACCGGTATCGATACTGTTTTTTTTATTTACAATATTTAAATAACAACTACCCTACATTTTTAGATTTTTTTTATTTCATTATTTCCTTTATCAATTGCATTTTTAATTTTTTTTTTCATTTTTTCCTTTAACAATTGCATATTTACAATTTTACACTTTAAAAATTTAATTAAAAAAACAAAAAATGGGGGTGGCCGGTCCGGTACCGGAACCGGTACCGGCCGGTCCGGTCACGGTACCGGTACCAAGGGGTGGCGGTACCGGAACCGGAACCGTACCGTGTCCACCCCTAGGTTAGAGTAAAGTGGGAGTGTTTTTGAATTTTTTTTGTAAATTACTCCGTATAAGGTATAGTCATAGATCCGTATAATATGGCAAATTTATAATTTAAAAAAAATTATTTCAAAATGAATACTATATTATTTCAGAATACGTTGTTTCAGAATCAACGATATGTTAATTCAAAATGAAATTTGATGGACGTATCTAGTTTTAAGTACACCTAGATGTACAATATAGGTTCTGGCTTTTGCTTCACCAAAATATTGTTTGTCATGTTTGTCAATCTTATTATAGAAGATGATTTCTTCATTCTAAAAAGCACTTCTATAATAAGATTGACAAACATTATTCAAGGACAACATTTGTTGATGTGATATTTTCACCAAAAATAATAATATACGGAGTAAATAATAACAATAACAATATAATAATAATAATAATAATAATAATAATAATAATAATAATCACAATAATGATAATAATCATAATAAGAGTAATAATAACAATAATAATACTTCATCTGTCACGCAATAGATTGTAATTGTTTTCTCTCATCACTTGATAACTTTTGTGCATTTATGTATTTTCATTGATTATTTAATAAAATAGAGTACTCGTGTCAGCTCTTTTTAGTAGAATTTTTGTCATAGTCTATAATATGTAAGTTTTATTTTTTATCCTTATATCAATTTTGAATAAATTCATTTCAAAAAACACAATATTTTAATTTGTAATTAGAATAATGTAATCTAATCTAGGACAAATATATAATGTGATTTGAATAAAGTTTTACACATAGCTCCATTTTTATGTTAAATGTGCATCATTCATAACCCCACTCGGAGAGAGTCCAACATCATTTTTTTTCTTTTGGAGAAAAGTCCAACATCTTATCCATGCGAAAAAATTTCAAATTTCGATAACCATATTTATAATAGGAAAATGCTAAAGTCACAAACATATAGTTCACAAAGTTACTTTTTCTAGATTTTAAATTAAAATATCTTCTATTATTTGAGTGCATCTTATTTCTTGGAAAGTGTTAAAAAGGTAAGTTTGTGAATTTTGTGAATAGTTTGTTTGTGACTCTAGCATTACTCTTTATAATATGATATGAGGCCATTCTGTTGATAAAATTAATAGTTTTTCCTTATTTTCAAAAGCTCATTGTCACCCCTATTAAAAGAAGAGCCCGGTTCCATGGCCACTGGGCCACGGAAGCCATTGCCCCCCTACGGAGCTCCGTTCATAAAATTGATGATTTCTACCCCCTCTAACCCCTCCGCCAAGTCACGACCCAAACTAATCACCCCACCTACGTCAATTACACCTCGTAAGTATAAAGTCAAAAGTTTTGATTTTAAAGTCAATTATACTTACGATGTGCAATTGACGTAGGTGTGGTGATTAGTTTGGGTCATGACTTGGCGGAGGGTTAGATGGGGTAAAAATCATCAATTTTATGAACGAAGTTCCGTAGGAGAGCAGTGGCTTCCGTGTCCACTGGAAGGGTTAGATGGGGTAGAAATCATCAATTTTATGAACGAAGTTCCGTAAGAGAGCAGTGGCTTCCGTGTCCACTGGAATCCAGTGGCCATTGAACCGGGCTCTTAAAAGAATAGAAACTATCAAATTTACCAACAGAGCACCGTAATTGTTTCAAGACATTTTTATCCCAATTATGCAATAAGCATACCCTTATTGAGATATTAAAATGGTGCTTCAAATGTGTTTACAAAGAAAAGAAAATGTTTCAAAACTGGAATTTGTACTAGGATGAAGAAACCACCCATAACCATAGGATTAAGAATTCATTAATAATGGGCAAGTGTTGCAATCAATCAACAATAACATTTGAGATTTGTCCTAGTACATACAAGAGTTTCATGCCTATTCATGGTTACCGTTCATTATCTTCTTTGTTGAGAATCGAACTCGAGCATTACCTCTTTTGCACCCACCCCTTCTTTCTTATCTAAATCACGTGCTCGGCTAAATATTCACAGGAAAGAAGGCCGTCAACGCGGGAAACTTCTACCACGTCATGAGAAATGCTAAGGCCACAAACAAAAACGTCAAAGAACGCACAAATTTACCATTCCATTTGCGAATTTAAATTCTCATGTATCTTAAAATTTCCGAGACCATTTTATTCTTTTCGTGAGATCTCAAATGATGAATTTATGCACTTTGTGACATTTTTGTTTCTGACTTTTAGCATTTCTCCAAATCAAAGGTCGTTTCTCTGTCCCCGGCCCCGCTCGGCAAAATCCAATGGATCGCCGAAAATGGGTGGATCAGAAGGTGGCAACGCTAACAGTGTATTCGGCCCGTTTGCATACGGCCTTGGCCTTGTTTGTGAATTACTTACGAACTCTTCCACGGCCCGAGAAAACGCATACGGAGTGCAGCCTGTCGACCCAACAACAAAAATGAAATATAATAATTATTTGTACCCAAAAAATGTCTACACGACTCGTTATTTACTTCGTATTAAATATAAACTTCATTTTTAAATTTTACACTAACTTTCATACAATCAAATTAAAAATAACTTCATTCAGACAGTGTAAAGTACTCAAGGAAATAATTTTGTTTGGCAAAATAAAAAATTGACCTTTTATAAGGTACCTACCTTGAGAATGATATGGGGGCGGGAAAAATTGCAGATAGCAGAACATTGCCACAACAAGACCTGAAAATTAATAAAGATAACAATTAGAGAATTAAAAAAACATAATGGTTTTACTGTCTCCAAATAAATAAAAAGTAAAACTTGCATATTTAAAAAAAATGCATCAAACGTTTTTTTCGAAATAAGGTGTGAAAAGGATATTTCATCTTATCACACGACCAATGAAAACACGTAAACAAACAACGGTTATGGCGAGCCCAGAATAGTAACTGTAAAGTGTACTTGGAGACAGAGGAAGTATATGTCTACATCTGTGCTTCCAGAATTGACATAAACTTATATTGGCGCTTCCGAGTTGACCCGATAATCCGGTCAACGTTGAAGCGGGCCACGTAGCAAGCGTATGGGCGATAACAAAACGAACCTATGAGGGCCCCGGCAAAGACGTCCTGCCAATGATGCCAGTAGTCATCCACGCGAGAAACGCCAACCAGAGAGGCTGCCAGAAGAGGAAGAAATATTATACACAGCTTTGCTATATGCCCTCTCCTGTCAAATGGTTTGATTTTTCCTGCTAAATACATGGCTAGGAAACCCAGTCCTGCAAATGACCCTGCAGTAAATAAATTTATAAATAATTTCATCTTAAAACATTGCTATATTGTCCATTCACATATAAAGGAATGAATCATTTTGACCATGTTCTAGTTTCTTGATAGAATTTCGGTTGGGGTAGGGACAACTAGATTGGGCAATAAGACACTTGGGTTGAACCGCATTAAAAGATTGAATTCAATCGATTACTTAGTTCAAATCAAGAACTTATATACCGATAACTTTTCTACCGATATGGGATAGACTCTAACATTTTGGATAAATAATTGACTAAATCATGACATATCAAACTTTCATTCGTACCCAAGGGTCTAGCAGAAGCATCTCCATTTTAGTTTTTGAAAACCAAAAAAACACAAAAAACTACTCCCTTTGTCTATGTTTATTTGTCTAGTTTTGACAATAATTGTGGTTCAAAGTTTGTCCAGTTTGTCTCAAAAATGTCAAACTGGATAAATACATTGAGACGGAGGTAGTAAAAAGCTTACATGAAGTGTGACCACTTGGAAAACTCTTATGTCCTTCCTTTATGTCACTCTCTTTACCATGGCATATCACATTGCCCCAACGATCATAAAGCTGAAAAGAGTACATACACCTAATTAGTACTGCATTACAACAACAATAACTAATCCAAATTAGTATTGCATTACAATGGCCCGTTTGGCATCAGCATTAGAGATTAGTGTTAGCGTTTTGAAAAAGCTATCCGACAGTAGCCTTTAGCGTTAGCGTTTTCAGAATTAATCTACATCATTAAAATGTTATCCAATACGCTAACGCTAATCGAAAACGTTGTTCACAAACAAGGTCAATATGGACCACACAATCTTTTCCTTAAAAAGAAAGTGAATTTTTTTGGGACATTCTAAATAAGAAACTACGAAGATAAGCATGGAACGGATGGAGCATATAGGATGTCATTTTTTCATCTTAATATTAAATTATCCAAAATTCAGACAACAAATTGAGTTGTGCGAAGCATGGAGTCAATGGTGGTGTTAAAATTATGGGGTTACCGCCATGGAGGGATTTTTTAAAACTCCATAAAAATCAAATGGGTAAAGTTTTGGGAGAAATACCGACCTAGGACTAAAACATGTTTCGTATACCAAAACAAGGCATTCGATGTTTTAATACAAAAACGGGACGTATAATGTCAAACATAATGCCAAAAAAACATTGTGAAATTCCAATGGTAATGACAATAAAGTTAAGCCTTGTGGTTTCTTACTTACATCCCGTCCGTCTGGAAAGCAACGCCAGAAGAAGTCAGGCCGAGGCCTACCCACAGCATTTTTTATGGCATCCGTCATCACAGCAGTTATAAGTATAGAAAATAGAAGCCCTGCAATTTCATGTTCATGCAAGGAAATTCTTGTTAGAAACTCAATCAAGAAGTGTATAAGCTCAAAAAAGTCCATAGTTTCCTCTCAAGTGTCACATTCCATATGTGTGGAATGACTTCACTTGACATATATGGGTGTCATATTATGACACTGGGCCATTTGAGGGCCCTACGGATGCTCCATTCGACCCTGAAGTGGGTCCAACTCCTACCCCCTTATTCTCCGTGTGTGTGTGGTATGTATGCATGTGTGTGTGGTGTGTGTCTACATAAATATATATATATATATATATATATATAATATTACCTAGTATGCTGTGGTGTAGATCATAGACATCCTTCCTTCGCAGATAGTAGAAAACGAAGATGACAATAGGCAAAAGAACTGCATAGATCTGTTCATTGACACACACATTATTGACTCAATCTTTTATTTGAGCAAAAAAAAGGAAGAAGAAAAGCTCACATATAATTTGGCTGTCGTGCGCCATACACTATGTCTGGTTCAAGGAACTTGGAAGGAAACGAAAAGTAAATGATTTTCTCTCATTTTCCTCACCAAAATGGGAGGAATTTTGCTTGAACCAATCATAGTTTTCCGTCTCGTTTTCTTTTCTTCTCCCTTTCAAATTCCTTGATCCAATCATAGTGTGAAAGTGCTCAAAATGAGAAAACACCCATGGTAAACGTAAACCTTAGAATTACAAAGCATGGGGCGCGTGGCTTACGGGAACAGCCCAAACGGGGACAGTGTTGTCTTTCATGGGGTATTTGAGATCGGACATCATGTCGGCGCCTACAAAGCGATAGAATGGACCTATGATGTAGAGGGCAATCTCCATGAGGAGGAGGAGGAGGAGTATGAGCCAGTCCAGTTTGTGATTCCATGCAAGTGTTGAACCATGGGACATGATAGTGTGTGGGCATCCTGGCTCCACCTCTCTTGGTGTTCCCTATTCAGTTCATATATGTTCATCATCATCATTATCATCATCATCATCATCATTAAAATAATCTTAATCCTAGCTACTTAAGGTTACTACTACTCAACTACTCTAATACTAGATCACGAGGGGTTCCTATCTAAGCCGTGTACTTGGTAAGATCTTGAAAGTGTAGGTTCTGTCTATTTGTCTAAACACCTTCTTGAATTAACAATGCTGATTAATTGAATGAAACAGAATTACTACCTCCATTTGGATTTAATTGTGTATTTGAATTGACAAAAAACCCCTTTGTAACTGAGAAACAAGCCTTATAGGCTCTTTAGGAATACTTTGGGAAATTCCCCATCCACATCCCAGAAAGGAAGAGCAATTCATTAATGAAAATTAAAAGATTGCTCAAACTTTGAACACAACAAATTTACTTTATAATAGCAGCTCATACTCATTTTATCCATTTATTTCCTTTTGCATTACTTCTAAGTAACCTAGAATTCCCTTTTCCCTGTCATTTTCCTGAATCCAAACACTCCCTAAGCCTTAAGAATCTAGATAATTAACATCCCTTTACTTCTGCAAAATTATGAAAGTTACTTATTCTAACCTAACCACACAAGTTTAGAACAACCAAAGCAATTTCGTGAAGAATTACATAGAAGTATGGAGCAAGCAAAGGGCATATTTTTTTAATAAAAAACAACAAACCCAGTAAAGTTCAACCAAAGTAAGATCTGGGGACCGTATCATATCAAAGTCAAAGTAAACACAGTAACAAAAAAAGACATTTTTGAACAAAAAACACATTTTTGAAGAAAAAAACACAAAATTTGTTAATGGTGATTTGGAAAGGAAAGGGGCAAATAAAGAACCTGAAACACATTCAAGAAATTGGGTATTCTGTTCCTCCTATCCATGTGAGCAGTGTATTGAATCTTGGGTCTCACAGAGAGATTCTTGAAATTCCAAACATACAAAAAGAAAAAAAAAGAACAAAAAGTGAGTAAAGAAAGATGATAACAGTTTGAATTTTGAATGACAATAAAGATGATTAAAGATTGGGATTTAGGACTCCATTCATTACATTATTACACCCTATCTTGTTTAACAAGTGGAAGAAAAATGAATGATTTGAAAAGACAGTGTACTGTGGATTGTGGAACAGTAAAAAAAGTAAAAATAGTTTCTGAACAAATAAACAAGAGAGAGAAATGGAGATGAAAATGGTGAAGATGATGATGAAAAAGGGTGAAAAATAAAAATCAAGAAAGAAAGAAAGAGGGGAGAACTGAAAAGTTTGAAATTTCAAAGAAAGAAGAGATTTGAGGAGATGGAATGATTCCTTGATTAACGTTAAAAACAGTTTAAAAGTAACAGAGATTTAGATGTCGTCGCCCCTAACCTACGGTTTCTTTTTTCACCCGTTTAATTATCCGTAAAGCCACGACAAATTACTCCGGGCACTTCACATTAATGCCTCCCTCTCCCACATTTTTCGTTGATTTTGATATTCTTTTTCTTTGACTTTTTATGATCTCAAGTATTGTATTTTGATCATTAATATGTTTATTTATACATGAATATATTTTATAATAATTTGATATTAAAATTATATCATAATATAATGTATTTTTTCTATATATTGGATCTAAATTTATAAATATTGACAAAGAAAAGTCAAATGAGTAAAACATTTCCGGACGATGGGAGTGGCAAACACACAAAAATATGATACTCTCTCAGTCTCTACTTCTCAGATTAGGTTATAATTTTCTATTTAAGAACTAAAATTTTACATTTTTTTAAAATCAATTTATTTAAAAATTAGTATTAAAATAATTAATAAAATTTACATTTAATTAAATAACATTGAAAATTCTATAAAACAATATGTTATGAGAATTTTTTACTTTATCAAATAATTAATCAAAATATACATACAAATTAAGGCTCTGTTTGGTACACTGAATTCAAACTATGAAATTGGAATTGAGGACTTCAACTCCAATTCTGATGTTTGGTAGTACAAAAATTATGTAGATTTGGGATTGATAGTGCAAAAATGAATTGGAATTGGCAGAATCCAATTCTATGGAATTGAATCCTATAGAATTTCAATTCCAATTCAAGTCCGATTTCATCAATTCTATATACCAAACGGACCCTAAAGTTATTGAGAGATAGGTTCTAAAGTAATTGTAATTCACTTGGGACGGAAAATGTGTTTATGTTTTGGCAAATTATTTTGTGTTTCTTAAATCAAGCTCATTTTGTGTTATTTCAAAAAAAAATCACCTTATGGACTTAGATACGTTAAATGATTATATATAATGGGTTTTGTAAAAATAAAGATATCTAAGTATAAGCACATGAAAAAATAAGAAAAAGTTCGTAAAATGTTACATACAATGTCAAATTGTTATATTACACAATGAAACTTTTGCATTGAAGGTGTAAAACCCCACGAAATCCTATTTTGGTATATAAATTTAGTGTTTTAGTCATATTTACGTAAATTTATCTTAAATAGATTAACTATCTTTCCTATCAGTGAAAGTACAAATCCAATAGATTTAACATGCAAAAAAATTATAAATTATTTTTTTGCATTCAGGCAATGTAATTTTTATATAATTGGGTATCTACTTGTGTCCAATTTGTTATTCAGCCTAAAATTAATGTTTAATATAAAGTCTTTTCAAACAATCCTTATGAATTGTGATTAGTGTTAAAGAGATGTTAAGATAGGGTTTTTTTCTTTAACTAAGCACAAGTCAAAGCAACCCCACCTTATTATGGTTGAAAGGACTTTCCACCAAAGGATTTTGTCCACGGAAACGGCGACCAAACCCCGAGTGGAGCCCACACGGGTGTCCAAGAAATTATGGCGTCAAAATTAGTTTGGATTATTCTCTTCTGGAAAGAAATTATGGGTGTAGGCGTCAGGCCCAAGAAGAAATTATGGGTGTAGCTTGTTGGGCTCTTGGAAAAGGGTTTAGGGCTCAATCCGATAGTGATCCATTCTTCAATAGCCCGTTTTAGTTACGGATTCAAGCCCAGAACAAAGATGCTCATTGCCTCCTCATTGGACAAGACAACTAGACAAGCCGTCTGCGGAACGACTATTAGGCCTAATCGGCCACTTGCATTCCAATTACGGAGTTCAATATTTAAATAAAATTGTTTTTTAATTCAATTTATTTAAATATTGAAATAAATTTTAAAAAAAAGTATGCGAAGTATATATTGAAAACTACTCTAAATTGTGTAAATAAGCGGCGACTTGACAATTAGAGGGTGTTTGGCAGTGCACTGCTTTTAATAAATTAGCTTCTGCTTTGAGTGGAAGTGATTTTACTCTGTTTGGCATGCCAGCTTCTGTTTTTCACCACCGCTATTTTGTACATAGAACACCGTTTCGGAAAAGCAGGTATGAGATGCTTTTGTTTTTAGCTTTTGTGAAATTACTTTATCTACAAGTTAATCACTCCCAAACACCCTCTTACTCTTTTCGTCCTAATGTATTTGTCTAGTTTGACTTTTTCAAGTCAAACTGGAAAAATTTTAATACTCTTAATTTATTTTGCATATTAATACAATAAAGAAAGTTTTTAATAATTCTTAACAAGTAAATCTATTGAAATAATTTTAATACTAAAATACATTGCCGTTTTTATTTAATTAAGGTCTGAAGTTTATCTAGTTTGACTCAAAAAAATCAAACTAAACGAATACATTGGGACGGAGGTAGTATACTATATGTATATATCACATTATCAATGAAAATGTGTATAATTTTCTTTTGAATACTAATAGCTCTATTATAATACAGTATTTGTTCATACATTCTATACTCATTAAACACGTAAAGTTATTACCCTCACCGGGGTCGAACCTGGACTACACGATATTTGTCACATATAAAAAAATATAGTTTAACCTTACAATGGTTAGTGAAAATATCAAAAACTAAGAATGAAGTAGTTCGAACTTGGAAGTGGCAAGTTACTGTTAAATTTTTCTTTGTCATCAATTAATCGTCTCACTTTATTATTCATGAGTCCGATTCATTTTTTTTATTTTTAATTTATTTTTGTTATTCATTTATTAAAATAATCACTGGTCATAAATTGATTTGGTTATCTTTCTAATTTAAAGAGCCATATGAGACTTCTTTCAAACAAAAAAAAAGAACCACATGAGACTAGATAAATGCTAGAGTAACAACTTAAGGGCTTGTTTTTTCACGTGATCTAAATGATTATGATCTGATTGGAATAAGTTATGATCTGGTCTGATATGATCTGGATGTAGTTATATTTAAAGTTATTTCTGATTTGGTTTGATTTAAACTGATTTCAGTTAGAAAAAAAGTAATAAAAATAAGTTGAAGAGAATAAGCTCTAATTCTCACGAAATTCACAAGCGTCTCAAATACGGTTGGACACAATTCCAATTCGGAACTGGTACTGGAAACAGAACCGGCCGAACTAGAGGTATCGTGTCCAGCCCTACTATTAAATTTCAGAAAAGGCAAATTTATAAATTATATGAGAATTAATTTATGACTATATTATGGTCCTTATTAGAACCGAAGGACAGACCGGATGGCCCATAACATTGATGGGTTATATGGTTTTCTGTATTCTTGTTGTTATTTTTATGGATAAAAGAGGATGTATTTATTTATGAATACATTTGGAACTCTTTAATGGACTTTTGTGTCTATCATGTACTCTTTGTTCTAAGACTTAGACAATTCTTCCCCTTTTCAATGATGTGTGTATTCTATTCTATCCTTTTTAATTATTTTGAATTGTACCTTTTCAATATGGTTTTGCTTTGTTTTTTTTAAAGATGCGGTTCCCATTATTTTATTTTATTTGATTCCTAAAAATAATTTAACCTTTTTTTTTATTTTTTTCAAACATTTTTTCGAACTATCTAATTCAAATGCTATTTACTTTGAAATTGTGTGCAAGGGACTGCAATGAATACCTTACAGCCGGTTGTATAGTGCTTTTCGTACATCCGCGACGTGTCAAAAACACTACTTATTGCTCATAATCTCTTGGATCAAACTGAACTAAAATGGACTTAATTAAAATGAACACTAAAAATTAAAAATCATTTATTCCATTTAATTTTAACTGAAGAATGTTGAACCAAATCAATTGAATACAATTTTTTTTAAGGTAAATTGAATTGAAGTTGAGATTATGGGATTAATATCATTCCTAATTTGGAATGGAAGGACCGGACAACCAGAGTAATGAACTTACATTTATTAAAATATTTTAGGAAATTAAATAAAAGTCTTTGGGAACCTTATGTTGAGAGGTTTTCCATTTCCATATCAGAAACTTTATTTACCATATCAATCAAAGAGAAGGAAAGGACAAATTATAATTGGCAAAACAAATATTTTATTGGTTCCAAAATTATCATCTTAATTTGATTCGGGCATCCAATAATTTTTTCGGGCATCCAATAATTTTTTGGGATGTTTTTTTTCATGGTTAATATAATAAAATAAAGTATTCTTGTCGTTACTTTCTTTGTATAACTTTTACATTTAGTTTTACAAAATATAATTTGTACTCGTACCATTTATTTTCATCACTAAATTGTAAGAATAAATTCAAAAGAGACGATGGTTTGCACGTTACTCGAAAGATGATTTTTTTTAGGGATGGGAAAGTATAGTTTTGATGCATCACATTTTTAACATTAATTTATTTAAAATCATCCTTCGTATTTGATTTGTGGCCAAAGAGATGACAATGATTAAATTTGAGAAGGGAGTATGCTTTATATATCAAAGTAAAATTTTCAATATTTCTATACCAAACTAAAATGCCGCACAATATCAAAATATAACTCAAAAAACATTGCAAACTGTCAATACATTGCCAGATTATGACGTTTAGTGTATAAAAACATAAGAGGTGCGAAGTTAAAAGACAGAAACGATGTGGACTACATAAAAAGATCACATTTGACTTGACATAGAGATTAAAATAGTAAAAAATATATGACTGAAAATGATATGGTGCAAAAGACATGTAAACTATATGGACCACAATTTTTTTGAATAGTGGAAAATGAAACATTTTGTATGACAGGCGAAAAAACGTGGGACACATAGTAAGTACAATTATATGTTTGTTGAGCGGGAAGTCCATTTTCCAAAATCTTATAGGATGTTTACAAAGGTTTAATCGTTAGCTCACTGCAACTCTTTTCGATATTCTTGCCATTCCAAACATGAAGTTCTATTATCTTCCAATTGTGAGATATCAATTAGTGTTTTGATATCTCTATTAGAAATATCAAGGATAGAAAATAGAATGTTATTAGTATTATTTTTCAAAATCTATTGTTACCATAATTACTTATTCATCTATTCTAGTACGATTAAGATTTTCTCTTGTAATCTTTGTATATAGAGATGATCAATGATTATCAAATTGCATCAATCTCTATAATTTGTGGCTACTATTACCGGCAACACATTATCACTAGCCACACACACTTGCCTCCAACTCGATCATACTTATTCTGTTACACAAAAAAGTTTCACATTTGACTTTGCACATAGATTTAAAAATCACTATAAATAAGAGTAAAATATACGAGTAGTATTTATCTTCATAATTGGAGTATAAGGTTCTTGTTTTTCAAAATAAAACTTTGCATTGTGACGTTATAACACTATATTAGCATCTAATTGGTTTTTTTGGTACTATATATGTACACTATTTGCAATGAAATTCCTATTTTTGGACGAAAAGAAACTTTTATTTTAATATTTTCACTACATTTTTCTTCTAATTTAGTCTTTAAAACAATTAAATTTTGTAATTGCAAGTGACACAAAAAAGAGAGAAATCATGTAGGGAGAAAGACCAAAGTAGGACTAAAACATTAAAAATATACCAAAATAGGACTTCTATGTTTTTATTCCTGAGATAGGTATGATCATATACATTACCAAAAAAGTACAGTAATGTGCACATGTACACTGCCACATTACCACAGTGCAAAGTCACATTACCACAGTGCAAGGTCTTATTTCGGAGAAAAAAACATAAAAGTCCTATTCTGGTACTTTTCTCTATGTTTTAATCCTATTTAGGGTGATTTCTAAATTATGTAGGCCATAATAACCTTTCCAAAAACAAAAAATAGATTTTTGTTGGAATGAATAATAGGAGAAATATGATTTTTATTTATTTATGGGATGGGAAGAGTATTTGATTCACCAAATGGTTCCTAAAACCCATGTTCTAAAAGATTTGGGTTGTGTAACGGAATTTACCAATCTATCCATGGAAGATTCAGAAGAATTTATATTTATTAATTAATTTTTCCTGAGTAAAAAAAAAAAGAGAAAAGAAAACAGCTGGAGAATTTTGATTTTTGAGAGTCCCAGGGACATCCTCTTGCCTGTCACAAAAAAAACCTCTCGCACCCTTTTTTTCTTATAATTACATATTGGTACAAATCTGCTGCGGCCGTCTATGGATATTCCGCCTCTCCCCACCGCGACGACGGCGGCAGCGTCTGCGATGGCTGCGGCGGCGGCGGCAGCGGCAGGACAACCGATACAGCTTCCACCGGCACCAGCGGCAACGCACGTCAACTACGCTGACTCGGTGGACTCGTCGCCTCGCTCACGCAACGCGGAGTCCTGGGACGAGCCGCCACCCTACGCCGCCGGTACAGGCGGCGGAAAGCTGCGGCTGATGTGTAGCTACGGCGGACGGATAGTTCCCCGCCCGCACGACAAGTCTCTCTGCTACGTCGGCGGCGATACGCGGATCGTGGTCACCGATCGGCACTCCTCGCTCTCCGACCTGTCTCTCCGCCTCTCGAAGACGCTCCTGAATGGGCGCTCCTTCTCGCTCAAGTACCAGCTTCCGAACGAAGAGCTCGATTCCTTGATCTCCGTCACCACAGACGAGGACCTAGAGAACATGATCGATGAGTACGACCGCATCAACTCCAATTCAAACGGCGGCACGAAGACCTCTCGCCTCCGATTGTTCTTATTTCCTTCAAAGTCCGACACGATTTCCTCAATTGAGTCCCTGATTGAGAGCTCGACGAAGTCCGAAGACTGGTTCTTCAGCGCGCTCAATGGGGCGACTTCTACTTCCACCAAAGTCCTGTCCGAGTCTTCGTCCGTGAATTGCCTTCTGGGGCTCGACGACGATGTCGCTAATGGAAATTCAACCGGAAAAGATGCAGACGCTCTCCAGGATGGGACGAATAGCAGCAAAAATGGAGGTGTGAATCAATCGAAGGGGAATTCCCAGGACATCCACTCAGTTCCAGATTCGCCTATGCTAGGGATGTCATCCTCTTTTGACTCCACCTCCTCCACCACTCCCCTGGGGAATTTGCCTCCAATTAGGGTCCGCGTCGAGGAGAATCAAAGGGTGGGAGTTGAGGAGCACTTCTCCCAGATGGCAATTGGGGTTGTGGCCGGAGGGCAAAAGCAGCAGGAGGAGGGAGGGTTTGCGGCATTGACTTCACCTCCGGCTCCACCACCTCCCGTGGCGGCTGTTGTTGCAGAGTATCCAAGTCGGATTTTCTCTGATGATGAGAGATCTGAGCTCGGTGTCCCTGCCGGTTACCCAAAGCCGCCGCATTCACAACCACCGCAGCAGCCGCCTCCCCAATTGCAACCTAAACCAACTGATTTGCCTTCCCCTGGTTCAGTTTCAAGGTACACTAAGCGCCTATAACCATTAGGGGCATGGGAAAGAAACTAGGCAGGAAAAAAATGGCAGAAAATCGAACTCAATTTGTTCTCCTAACCCTAGTATTTTATTTGTTTGCTCTTTTCACTAGCATTTTTCATGACTCAAACATACCCATAGTGTTTTTTTTCTTCTCCATTTTATGATCATCTTTATAATCATGAATGCAAAGCACACTTTTTATAAAAGGTTTGGAGTAGTGAATGTGATCTATCTGAATGAATTGGGATGGTTTTGTTTGGAACAGCGAGGGAAGTGTAGCACATCCATTGTCTCGCCCAAAGAATTACATTTATCAAGAGCCAATTGTGCATATTCAGCCAGGGGTTAGAGCTTCTGCCAGTCCAGTTGATCCGATGATCAATGATCCAAACTGCAGGACTCAGGTTCTTCAACAGCAGCAACTTCAGGATTCTGGGTATGTGTTCCCAAGCCATATGGATCACCATCCACAAATGCATCAACACCAGCAGTACGTTCATGCCGGACAGTTTGTCCACCATCTCCCATCTGGAGCAATGCCCATCACATCTTATTACCCTTTATACCCTTCCCAACAGCAACATCATCCTGCTATGGACCATCCGTATCCGGTTTACATTGTGCAGGCTAGACCGCCCACACAATCATACAATATGCCTGTTCAACAAACTAGTGAACCTTCTTCTGCACCTTCTTCCCTTCCACAAACACCCCCTGCAGCCACAGTCCCCCCCACTACTTCTGAGTATAACAATCTCCCTCCCACATCCAAAACCGAAATATCTGCTGGCTCGTATAGAGCTGTAGTTGCTCCACAAATGGTCCAACTTCCCCCACACCCACCACAATATGCCGCGGGTTACTCTCAGATTCATCATCTCCCATCCCAGTCTGTTGCCGCACCTACCTCAGCTGCTCCCGGAAACTATGCTTATGCATACGCCGATCCTACCCACCCGCAGATATACTATACTCAGTCTCCCTTCGCACCCCAAATGTCTGCGGCTCAATACCAAACAATAAAACCTGCCCCTGGTATACCTCCTGAAACTTCTCAGCTTCCTACAGAAAACATCAACCAGCACAATTGAACAGGTTTAAAGAGGCGATTCGTGGCGTGAAGAAGAAACAGTTTTGCATCATTGGGTTTGATTTTTGATTTTATTGTGTTAAAATGTTTGTTCTACTGTTGGGTTTTCGAATGCGATGTGTATTTGGTCTAAGGTAATAATCAACTCTGGTATTCTTTTGTTTCCTGTATGTAATGCTGTTATTATTACTGTGAAACCGTGAAAGTAATAGTGGTCTGGAATTTATATATGTGAAATTAGAGTTGCCCATACATACCAGGTTCCATGTTTCAGCTGTGGATTACATTATACATGTGATTTAGTTGTTTTTTGAGATAAAGTTTGGATATTTGTGATGATTTATGGTAGCCCATGGTTCATGGGCTTATTCTGGTCTGATTGAATGCATTCTAATGGAAGGCATTATCCAGAATTGTTTATTGTCTTTGTTAGACAGGCTGGTTCCTTGCAAATTTGTAGAGCCTACACTGCTTTCTGGATCAAACCATAATTGACATGACATAGATGACAATATGAGATAGTTAATCACCCTGTTTCTTGGTGGGCATTTCTTGTTTTATGAATGTCTGAGCATTTTTCACATCTAACTTTTTTTTCATGAAGGGTTTTACAGAAAGCAAGAAGCCATGGAAGTGTAATTTGCCAATTTGATGCTCAGTTGCAGATTCTCTCTTGAGTAGTAAGATGCCTCTCTCCAGTTGGTAATTCAGTAACTTCCTTTCTTTATTTGGCATTGGTTAGGAGTCTTTCACTGGCATTGTGTTTTTGAACAATCCCTGCCCCATTTTCGGTAGTCGAGTTCCAAAGTCTGGCATTGCCATTCTCGAGCTTCATAGGTCTTGCATTATTGTAAAATCCGTTCTAGGCGACCACATTGCTTGAACGTTTGAACAAACAACTCAGTAAAATCCCACAATAGTGTTTGCGGGAGGTTGTGAGTATGGAAACTAGGAATTGTCCCAACAATTCTACAGAATTGAGCTACTTATGCACCAAAAATATGTACCCCAAATTATACGCCCGGGTGTGGAGTTTTTGCCTGCACCAATAACCGATCTAATCTCTATTGCTTACTCTAATACGCTGTATTAAAGCTCAATTTATTTTTAAGAGTATTTATCGTATCGATCTCGAAAAAACGAACGATGAAATTCATCTGTTTTTTTCTTTTAAAAAAAGGAGCATGCTACTTTCACCCCACTATGTACCCCAAAGGTTTACCCTACATAAAATGTAAGTGCAACACTGGCATAATCCTATTTTTGTACTTAAATTTAATGTCAGTGTAAAGCCTTGGTTACAAAATAGAGTACAAACCTTAAAAAAAGTGAGAATTAAGCATATAATGTGTGTATGAATGGCATGAAAACAAATTCCGATGCAATAATATTGTGTCACGTTACAAACTTTAACGTATGCTTATGATTATTATATTAATTAATGCTTCTTCAATTTTTGATGTGTGAATGGTACGGTTGATGATGATGATGATGCATTCTTTTATGTGGAAAGCTGTCACCACATTCTCATTATTCTTTAAAAGCGTTGTAAACGCGTGATTTTTGTTTCCTTATAATTTGTGCTCTCTTTCACATTTTAGCAAATCATTATCCCCTTCAGTCTCTTTTAAATTTTCTCTGTTTGATTTCTAATATTGAGTTTTAAAAACTTTGACGGTAAATTATCGAAAAAACACGTTGATTTGTGATATAATTTTAATATCATTAAGTTTGTTTTTGAAATATAATTTTGAAATATTATATTTTTATGAAACAGAGTATATAGTTATCTATAAATAAAATATTGATGACCAAATTTTTGCATTGAATATTGTAAAAAATCAAATGAGAACATTCAAAAGGGGACGGTGTATGTGTTTATAGAGGAAGTCTTAAGTTATACCACTCCTCTTCGTGTAACTCGGTAACAACAATTCAATTGGAAGACCTGCGATACTTTATTAATTTGTCAAAGTAATGATTTTTACACCTTTAATTTTTCTTAAATCTCCACCCAGCTCCCATGCATTGATTATTTGGTGACAATCACTTTTTGGAATAAATATGATTTAATGGTTTGCCAAATATAAATTTAAGAACATAATTTTATTTATGAATTTTTTAAAACTATGATCAAATTCAAATTGAAAATGTAAGAATGATATGTGCCAAATTCATTCGTTCCCTTTCAGGAGAGCTCTCTCGACGGACAATTTAAGAACATAATTTTATTTATGAATTTTTTTAAAACTATGATCACATATGTAAGAATGATATGTGCCAAAGTAATACGAAATACTCTGCAAAACATTTCTTTCTCCTCCCCAACCAAACAAGCCTTTAGAGAATTAATTGTTTATTTTATTTTTCATAAAATAAAAGATTATGAAATAATTCTTCAACATAAATATAACAATGTAAACTTTAAAATTTAGGCGAAAGTAATATGAGAATTGTACTTGAAAACTGTCAACCTAAACTTGTATGAACTCTTAAAGTGAATTGAATAAGTTTGATAATTTGTATACAAATACATCTATCTTATTAATATATACAGTAATACCTTACAGCCAAGGACCTTGTATTCAGTGATACATCTACGACTCTTCCAAACGAGAGATCATTTGTTCAATATCTATTGGAAGTAACAACTCTACGAGCTTCAATATGCTGAGACTGTATAAACAAATAATATTTTGTAGTAGAGTTATTAGTATTAAAAAAATTATACATTGCATTATTTTTCATGAATTTACTAAAATGAAAAAAAAGGTCTCTAATATATTACCTACCAACAATTCATTTTGTTTGTTTCTTGTATCCAACTATTTTAGAGAAAAAAATATTTATATTGCATAAATAGATTGTATAAATCAAGGTAGTAAAAAAAGTCTGAAGAAATTAGGTTATCAAAAGTAAAGTTTTACTGGTATTTTTTTTAAAAATTAAAGAAGTAAAAAATCATACTCCGAGTATTCCGTATAAAAATAAGGATTGAACTAGCATTGAACAAAACCTAAACTGTCCAATTTTAAAAAGTTAATACTTTTTCACAAAATCAAGTTACTCTAGAGTAGTAAAAAAAACTCATACAAATTTCTTGTCCAAAATTATATCGGTCTAATGAAAATAATCACCGAGTCAATAAAAAATTGCCACAGTTTGACTTTTTAGTCAAACTGTGGCACTTTTTAATAACTAATTATGAAAAAAGTATATCTAGTTATAATCTAAATTTATTAAATTCAGTTTATTTTAATATAATATTTTAAAATATCAAATTTTATAATATTTAATTATTTTAAACTATATTTAGTTCGTGTTCGAAAGGTGCTATAATTTTATTTTTAGATTGACAATTTTTAGCAGGGAGGGAGTATATTACAAATTGCGGGTTACAAAGTAAAATTTCCTACTTTTTAAAATCATTTTATTTACAAATTAGTATATCAATAAGATATAAAAATTACATACTACATTGTATTAAAAAAACTACGTCAAAAGTTCTACAAAACAAGAGGTGACAAGAATATTTTATTTTATCAAATACTTAATGAAATCGCGTAAACAAACAAAAGTGATCGAGAGGAGAGAAAGAAAAAAATTGTTTTCCCTTCGCCCACAAATAAACTTCTCGTTGCGCGTTACGATGTTTGACTGAAGTTATTTTTAAATCATTTTATAAGAAAAATGGTATAAAATAAAAAAATAAAAAATACATATTAAAAGACTATATCAAATGTTCTACAAAATTAGAAGTTACATGACTATATTATTTAATTAAATAGGTGACGAAAATAAAACAACAAAGTGAATGATGTTTGAGCGAGCGTTATTTTTTGTGGTGGAGAATCAGGAGAGTATTAATCGGAGAAGGAAAGTACACATTTTAGACAGTAGGGTCGACCTGAAAAAGCTGGGAGAAATGGTTTTCACCATCCATTCCGACGTTCGATCGGCGATTCAAATCGCCTCCCGCTTCCGCTGCCGAGGCGGTCAACCTCACCGCCTGCCATTTCCACTTTCAGTTGCCTTTAATTCTCCGGAGGCGGCGAGTGCGAGAGTGAGAGCTCTCTCGACGGACAATTCTGGAACGGACGATGTAGAGAGCGTCCAAGCTAAAAAGCTGCCGGAAAAGCCGTCGGTGTGCACCGCCGACGAGCTCCATTACGTCTCTGCCAACAATTCTGATTGGCGACTCGCTCTCTGGCGCTACGTTCCTCCTCCTGAGGTTTCAATTCACCATCAGAATTTCATTATTTTATGAAATTTTTATATTGTGTAGATGTTCCATTAGATACGCCTTCTTTAGAAACTCTAGCAGTTTCTTTGGTGACACTGAGATGCCCATCTGTAATTTGAATTGGACTTGGAATAGGCTCCAAAGAGGAATCATCCACTGCTGCTGCTATCAGGTGTTGGGACTAATGCCATCGGATATGATCTTTCGCCTGGGGTCAGTTCTCATCCCATTTTTTCTTTCAGTTTTTGTGATTCATATCATTCAATTGGAGATGTTCTATGGCATTACAAGCGACTTCATTAAGCTGATTCATCGTAGTGATTCTATAGACTATCATCTATATTCTTGCGGGCAAATTTCCTCTTGTGGTTATGTACTGTATCATACTATCATTCACTGATCAATTTTGATAATAGTTTAGTTTTGCTACTCCCATAACAGATTAAGTTCCCATTTTGCTCTTTCCTTTAGCATCACACGTTCGGATATAAAGGCAAATTATTAGAGGATTTTATTTCTATATTCATGCTATAGAACTTGTCAAATTTCCATTGAATTGTGCTTAGAATTCACACACAAATACCCAATGACGACCGGGCCTTGATCCCAAGTCAATGATATCAGCTTCATGTATTAAGAGATAACCTTTTGAGATAATATACTACTTGTAAAATACGTTTAGTACAACTATTTCTGACTGCTATCCTGCTTGAGGGAAGCTTGCTCATGACACTTGTGATGGTATGGTTTTATAGTCATCATTTGCTCGTCATATGTGTGGACAAGGGTTTGACACATGGATCCTTGAAGTTCGAGGAGCCGGGCTAAGCTTGAATGAATCAGATTCCCAAAATATTGAGAAGGCTGCTCATGAAATGTCCGAAGATATAAAAAGTACCACTAGGAGGAATGCAGCCATTGGGAAATTATCTGTAGCCGAGGATTCAAGAAATACCTCCAAAAACTCGGAAGATTTTGACATAGAGTTGGTCAAAGAAGACCCTGTTGAAATAGGAACTGTATTCGATGAGCCAAGATTAGTAACCCAACTGACAGAAACTTTCATGCGCCTGTCTGAAAGACTATCTGGT